AATCCCAGGACCATTAAAGAAGCACCAGAGTGCTACCCCTGCATTGTCACCACTGTACATATACAATGGTCTTTATCACACCAGCTGCTGTCACACCACAATTGTGCAAGTTTAAGAATGGAAGCATACTGGTTTGGCATTATTTCTTATCACACTTTCCCCCACAATAGTGCTCTAGTAACTTATGGCCATGTGATTTGTTTCCCATACTGATTTGGGAAGGTGTTGGCACTCTTTTACCTTTCTTTTATCCCTCTGCAGAAGTGCAGGGCTGCTGTGTTCACATTCACACAGCAGCCCATGCTTCAGGAGGAAAAGTGACAGTGGCTGCCAATTGCTTCCTGAAATTGACTGCTATGTGAATGGGCACACAGCAGCCGACTTCAGGAATGTGTTGGCAGCTGGGATTCCTCTCCTTTCCCAAGTGTGGAGCTGTTGTGTGCACATTCACATAACAGCACCACACTTTGGGAGGAAGTGAGGGAAATCAATTGTGGCTGTGTAAATATGCACACAGTAGGCGTCTTTGGGAAGCTGTTTTTAGCCATAATCACTGCGAAGAGGGAAAAGGGGGAGAGGAGCAGAATCACACCCACAGACTGCCTGAGAAGCGGAACTGCAGTAGAAGGGACCTATTGCATGAAGGCAGGAATGGAATAGCAGCAAGATTGAGAGCCTATGGATGGTTTTTGCCCATCAATGAAAAGGTGCAGGATAGTAATGAATGGAATGCAAGGTGGCAGCAGGACAAACATGATATTGTGTGATCCAAATCCACTCTTATCCTGTTAAACTTTCACTTTTCTAGCCAGTGTGATAAAGTCCTAAGTGCCATGGCAACATGCTATAGAATCATGGTATTGGTGGGGCACTAGAGTTCTCTGGCTCAGATTTCTAAACATCTCTCCCTAAACTGCATATTCCAGGATTCAGTAGCATGTTGCCATGGCAGTTAAAGTGGAATCATAGTGCTATAACTCTGTAATATTGGGCTTTTAAAGCTTGAGTTCTAAACAACAATTTTAAAACTGTACAAGCCTATCTTTAATTAATAGAATTAATTATTAGATTTAACTAAGACAGTTGTCCCTTCCCATTTGAGGACTTTAAGGGCCTAAGCAGACTGCCAGAAATAGTGCACATTAAATTGAGGCACTGCCCTGGCTCAGTGCTAGGGAATCATGGGAATTGTAATTTATTGTGGCACCAGAGCTCTCTGGCAGAGAAGGCTCAGTGTCTCAGAAAAAAATACAATTCTCATGATTCCCTAGCACTGAGCCAGGGCAGTGCCTCAATTTAATGTGCACTATTTCTGGCAGTCTGCTTAGGCCATAAGTCTGCAGTCCTTCTCTTCATGGGAGGGACAAGTGGGGAGGGATATAGGCATGCACACCATTATTTTCAGTGGGGCTAGAGCTGCCATTTTCGCAAAGGGGGGGTCCAGAATGGATCCCCCATTAATTAGGAGGGGCTACTGTAGAATTAATAGATTTGAAAAGGAGAAATCAATATTTTCTTCTTGGTGTATCTACTCTAACTAGCTGATTGCCTTAAAACATCACAATGTGTCTCACCTTTCTTTCAGCTTTATTTAGTTTCCCTGTTTCGGTTTTTGCCCTGGCCTAAACTACTAGGGGGCCATTCACACTATGTTTTAAACCAGTTTGCAAACTGGTTCAAATTGAGGTCGTTCACAGTTGTGCCAGGTTTTTCTGACCCAAATCCCCCCTTCCCCAGTGCAAATCCCCCTTAAGCCAGGTTTTTCGGAACCCGTCTTTTTCTACCAGCCACAAATGGGAACTTGCTGTTGATTCAATTTGGTGCCAAAGATGGGAGGGGTTAATGCACAAGATCATGCTCACCCATTTACTCTCTCCCTGCCAGCCAAAGCCAAAGCCAAAGCCAGGGAGGAGGTTCTCTTGGGAATGGTGTACTTTAAAATAGATGGTGTACTTAAAAAACAATTTGACAGCTTATGCACACCTTTGCAATTGCATGGCTGCAGTACACTGTACATTTACATACTCACACCATCATTAGAACAAAGGTGTGCATGATTTGATTGACATTTAAAAAAAACCCTATTCTGGTGGGGGTTAGGGGTCCTTTTGTCCTCTTTCCTCTGAGGCTGACAGAGGCTACTTTCCCCCACCATTCTTTCAGATGGAGGGACTTATGTCCATTGGGTCCTTGTCATCCATGAGCCTCCTGGCAGTGACTCCAGTCAGAGGCTGTCCAGGGCAGCCTGGATCCCCTTTCAGGAGTCAGATCCTGAGTTGTAGCCTCTGGCCCCATGTCCCTCAGTGCCCCAACAGTGTATCTTGGCGGGTCGGCATCCCTTCCCTCTCTCTCTCCATCAGTGAGCTGGGGCTCTGGACAGAGGGACAGGAACTACTTGCCTGCACTGATGCCCACCTTGCCTCTCCTCACCTGGTACACGGAGCCCCTGCTTTCTTCACTGTCAGGGCACCATCAGTCACGGGAAGATGGGCAGTCACCTCATCATGGACCTGGAGGTGCAAAGACTGGCCCTCCTGGCTGCAAGGTGGTGAGGCTACAGGGGGGAGCCTTCCCTTTGGCCAAGGACACCCACTGCGGGCAAAGGGGGTGGGGTGGGGGATCCTTTGGGAGGGAGGGAGGGAGGGGTTCCCCAAAAGCTGCCCAGCCCATGACAGAGTCCTTCTCTGAAGGGTCTTCCAGGTGGTCCCAGGGCCTTCAGGGACAGCGGGACCATAAAGCCACCATGCACCAAGGTACATGGCAGGGAGATGGAAGTGTCATTAGATGGTGTACTTTTTAAAAATACTCAGGTGTGGATGATTAGATTGGCATTTTTAAAATAAAAAAACCCTATAAGTGGGGGTGGGGTTAGGGGTTGTTTTTTCTCTTTCCTCAGAAATAAAACCCTAAGGCAAACCTATCCCAGGGTTTCTTGGCAATATTTCTTCAGTGGGGCTTACCATCACCATCTTCTGAGACTGACAGAAGGGGGGGGGATTCCCCCAAACTGTGTGATGTAGGTGCGCATCATTTGATTGGCAATTTAAAAACAAACAAACTGAAAATGATTGAAATGGCGGCTCCATTTTAAGTCAATGCAAATTTCAATGTGAACTCCAACAAGGTTAAATTGCCACAGAGAGATTTGATCAGGGTAAACACAGTGGAAACTTTGATTCGGTACTGCATCATCGAATCTCCCTGGATCTACCCGGCACAAAAATGCTAGTGTGAATGGGGCCAGTGAAAGTTTGTAGAAGTTGTTTTTTGAGACTGCAGCTTCCCAGACATTCCCAGCAAGCCATGCTGCTCATTGGATTCTGGAAATTGTAATAATAATAATAATAATAATAATAATAATAATAATACATTTTATTTTTATACCGCCCATTGGTAGTCCAATCCGGGCAGTTTACATCATAACAATTACATATAACATAAAACAACATTTTTCCTCCCACTTAGGCTAGGCCCGATGGAGATGGGCCTGCATCTCTCCCCCAGATGTCAGATAGAGTGGAGGGAGGGCTCTTCTTCTTAAGCTAGGCCCGATGGAGATGGGCCTGCATCTCTCTCCCAGATGAGACTACTTTTGTAGTCTCCAAAAGTAACTTTTCTGACCTCCACATTATTAGAATAGTAGTTCCATTGCTTCTTGGGATTCAGAACCAGAAGTCTGATAGGAAAACAGCTAAGCTTTGTTGGGGGGGGGGGGGGGGGAGGAAAGTTTTCTACATGCCAGCTTGATGCTGGCTGCTTATTATCTTCTGCACAAAGTAGCCTCTAAAAGAAAAGATGAAACGAAAGGGGGAAATGTAGCCATTTATATTTCCTGAAGTCATTCGTCAAGAGCTTTAGTAGCAAAGTGTTCCCAAACTTGCAGAGCAACCTTCTGAAACTGGAGCTGATTTCTTGCTAAATTCCAATATTAGTCACAGTTCTGTGGTCACAGCCCCCCCTTTCCCTTCTTTCTCATGTCTAAGAATTGTTATTTTGAAGGGGGTGCAGGAGTTAGCACAATCTTCTGCCCCTCTTTTCATGCAGATGACCAAGGAACCAGGTTGGTTGTGGCAAAGTATGGATGGAAGGGGTCAATGAAACTGAGGTATGATAGATGTAACATTTTGAAAAGGGAATATGCAAGCTGGGCTAGAAAACATTTCAACACCTCCACTGAAGAAAAATAAAACCAAAATAAGGCACAATTCTATGGGTTACTAGCTGGTTGTTTACATAGCCTCACTTGGTCGCAGTAGAACAGACCTGCATGTATGAGCTTGTTAGCCATAAGAAACACATCTAATGGTCATGTCATTTAAAGATGATTAATACTAAGTGGTTCTGGCAGGGTAAATGTTGCTTCCTTTCACATATCTTGGGCATTAGATAGCATCTGCTCAGTTACAATGAAGTGTTATCTGGAAATCTGTAATGTTTTCCTTCAGTACAGCTGTACAGCTGTTTAGTATGGCTGAAAAAGAACATAGATTTTGAAATGATAAGGTCAGAAATGAAAGGCCAGGACTTTCCCCCTCCTTTTGCTTAGTGTGGCTTAAAGTACAATCTACAATTTGCACCCAGATCAAAAGAGCAGCTGTGAAAATGTATATTCAGATGTAATGGTGCCAAAGAAATTTTCATTGGTTCCACTGCTCTGCTTCCACGGAGCTAGTTGCTGACAAAGATTTGGAAACCAATGTTTCAAAGTAGGGACAGAATCATCTCTTTATTGACAGAGAAACAGAAAAAGGTTAAAATGGAGGTGGGATATCAAAGAAGATAAAACTAGTGCCCTAAATATATATATAGTGGAAACATACCTATTTTTAAATAAAGATCTATGACTTAAGAAGCATTTTAATTGCAATACTTTAAGCTCCAATTTTGTTAAAGTTTAACTGTTGCAAACTGTCTTCAGCACAGAGTGTAATAGTGTTGCAATCTGTCTAAAGACTGTCCTGAAGGTGACATTTAAGACTTCCTGCATAAACATCTAGAATGACAGTGTGGTGTAGTGGTTTGAGTGTTGGACTATGACTCTGGAGACCAGGGTTCGATTCCCAGTTCGGTCATGAAACCCACTGGATGATCTTGGGCAAATCACACTTTCCCAATCTCAGGGGAAGGCAACGGCATAACGTCTTGCCAAGAAAAACCTAGATAGGTTTGCCTTAATGTCAAAATAAGTTGGAAACGACTTGAAGGCACTCCAACAAACATGAACATCTAGTTAGTGCTTACAAAAAATCACCTTCATTGATTTATTGGGGCTCCTACACCAACATCCACCCTGAGTTTGGAAAAATTACTATTTTGAACTAATCCTTTCAGGCTACGACTTCTAGTCAGCATGGCCGTTGGAAGCTGTGGTTCAAAGAAGTAGCATTTCCAGGTTCTGCATCCCTGCTCAGGTACAGCAAAGTTCCACAACAGTATGGTTTGTTTGCTTTTAGTCTCTCTTTCAATCCTTAAAGCTTTTGCTCCAGCTTTGAAACTTTCAGGGTTAAAGAAGAAGCATGTCTATCATAAGAGGGGCTGATGTTCTTACAAGAAGAATGCCACATCTGATGTTTGAGAACAACAGTTGTGAGTGATTTGGGGTGGGTCAGAGGAAAAAGAACTAGAAGGTCTCTATGTATGTTTGAATGCAATAGGACTTTAGGCAGGTGAAAACTGTTGATCCAGAAATAAAAAATATTTCTTAGTTGCATTGATCTGATTCCAATTGATAGTGCCAGCTAGCATAGATCCATTGAATTACTGGGATTTACCAATGTGTTGACTTGCAATTCAATATGAATGTTAATGAGTTTAATCTAGTTGGGACTAGCAATAGGAATCTGGCTTGTACAGGATTCCCCACAGGTTGTCACAGTACAAAAGGCAGTTCATTTTGATGAACTGTGTACTTCAATTAACTTCCTTTTTTTCAGAGTCCTCTCCTATCCCCTACCTGTAACTGCCAGGCTTCCAGCCAAACCAAGCAGTCAGTGTAACAGGTTGAGGAAGTTGTGGCTTCTGTTACTAAACATGGACAGGCTACAAAACATGCTCACTGCTGAACAGCTCATTGCATCAGCAGTTTTGCTGGTGATCAGAATTGCTGGAGATGATACTGCCTAGTAGTAGGGATGGGCAAATTCTGCGAATTATGATACTTTTTGAGTTTGGGCATACTGGATTTTTTTCCAGATGCCCACTGGGCACCCAGTTGATTTATGGGGTCCATTTCATTCTGATACCATTGATGTTTCATGAAAAGGAGTCCTCCAGATTCTTTGGTGCAACCATATCCCATACTTGTGAGGCTTAATGTCAAATGCTGTTTTGCAGACATCTCTAGAATAGATTTTAGTTGGCTTTCTAATCTGTTCAGGGTGGTGTAGTCTAATTATTCCAGTATTCCAGAAATTATGAAAAGAGTAACCCATTGGTTATTTAGTTATTTTGTTATTTGAAACCAAATTAAAGGAATAACTGGTTATTTTAAAACAGCTTTAGTTATTTTAAAAGGCCATTTCATTAGAGACATGTTCATGATAAAGATGAACCCATTAGTATGTTTGGTCCATATCAGTTGAAAATCAGACAACAGTCTTCCCTCAATACGTAATATTGCTTGTCTTGGCATGGCATGGGTGTTGACTGCAAATTATGTGGAAATATGATTTAATAATTTCTTTTTTAAAAAAAAATTAAAATAAATGTTATTATAAACATTATATAACAAAAATGAACAAAATATAACATGACAAATGCAATTAATAAAATAAAACAAACACAAAAACAAATTCAAGTTTTATTTTCAATTTTTTCATGTGTAATAATAATAATAATAATAATAAAATTTATTTATATCCCACCCCTTTGAGATCAGTCTTCTTTCACTTCTTCCTAACCTATCTATGCTTGGCATTTATACACACTATTGTCACTGTTCTTTTTCTAATATTAATATTTCTTGATTCTATCTTAAGAAAAAAATCGACCAATCTAAGTACAAAAAGTATATACAATAGTTACTCTTCATTAGTATGTGAAACCAATAATTGACATTTCTCCCTGTATGTTATTGAGTTATTTCATTACCAGTTTTCAATTTCCTACAAATTTTCCTAAGCTTTCATATTTCATTAAGCATGTCAATTTGTCTAACTCCACCATCTCAATTCATTTTTGTGACCAATCTTGTATTAAAGGAATTGAATTATCTTTCCATTTCTGGGCCATAACAATTCTAGCTGCTGACATTATATAATAAAATATTCTGGGGTGGGGTGGGGTGGGGTTGTATTCTATTCCTTTTTCTGTTGTTCCTAATAAATATAATTCTGGTTTCATTTGAATTTTTAGGTTCAAATTTCTTCAATCATTTTATGTACTGAGTTCCAATATTTTCTAATTCTGGAACATGACCACCATTGGTAATAAGTTTCTCTATTGCTTTTTGGTATTTCCAACATTTATTATTCATATGTTTATACATTTTGGATTTTTTTTCAGCTGAGAGTTACCCTCTATAGTGCATTTTATAAATATTTTCTCTGATATTTTGTAAACATGAATTTTTTTTATCTCCTCCCATACTTTCCCCCAATTCTTTAATTCTATTGTATGACCAAAATGTTGAGCCCATTTAATCATTGAATCTTTTATTGCTTCCTCTTCTGAGTCCCATTTTAAAAGAATTTTATATAATTTAGATAATAATTTCTTGTCTTCTAATAACACTTTTTCCAATTCTGTCATTCCATCTTTAATTCCATATTTTTATTTCTATTTTTAATTTTTCTCTAAGCTGTCTATAAAGAAACCAGTGCCATGGAATTCCTTTTTTCCTTTAACTCTTCTTGTGACTTAATTATATATGAATTCTCTTTCAATGTTACCATATCTCCATGTTTAATCCATTTATCTTTCATTATATTTTCTTTTTTATAAAAGACTTCAGGTGTAGAAATCCATAATGGAATATATGGTGAACATCTTGTTCTACATGAGCCCTAGGGTTTGGTTCCAGGACCCAGCATGGATACCAAAATCTGTGGATGCTCAAGTCCCATTAATTACAGTGGTGCAGGGAAATTGTGCTTCTTATATAAAATAGCAAAATCAAGGTTTGCTTTTTGGAATTTATATCTTTTTGGAATATTTTCAAGCTTGAATCCATGGATAAAAAAATCTGTGGATATGGAGGGCTGACTGTATATGTTTTCCATACTTTTAAAAATGTTCTCCTTGTATAATGATTATTATAATTTTACTTATCTTATCCTTATTAAACCAGAGTATCTGTGCCAGACAAATCTTATTTCATCTCCTTCAAGTTGTAATAGACTATTATTCTCTAATGTCATCCAATCTTTTAACCACACTAGACAGCAGGCTCTGTAATAAAAATTCAGATTTGGAAGGCCCATACCCCCTCTATCTTTATCATCCTGAAGTATTTTTAATCTTATTCTTGGCTTCTTACCTGACCAGATAAATCTTGTGATTTCTCTTTACCATTTTTGAAAAACCGTTTCATTATGTATTATTGGAATTGTTTGGAATGTTACTAATGCATCTTTTCCTATTCTTGTTTTGATAAATTAACATGAGGGTGTTTTTCGGTAAGCCAGTCCTCAGCAAATGTAAACACATTGACTCTTCTATGCTTTCACACATTTCTAATCCTAATTATCAGGTAATGACCACCATTGGCCACGCCCACCAATTTATGTCTTGAATAGCCAGTGACAGATTCTTTATGTTAGACTGTTGATTTAGACCAGGGGTGGGCATCTCCCAGAGATCAGGAGCTCCCTATGACCTAAGAAGGATGTGCCTGTCCTTCTCATCCCCCAGTAACCTAAAAAAATGACCTCAACATTGGGTGCCAAGGGACACAGTGGGAGCCCTGAGGGCAGCACTTGCCACACCTTGCCCAGCCCTTGAGTAGATTGAAGCCCCTTGTGGTGTGGGTCCAATTATAATTGAATATTGCAAACACAATCACCCTTTAAATTTCAACATATATATTTAACAACAATGCAACAAATTATATATTGGTTACATAAACACCCTAAGTTTTATGCACCCAACGAGATCCCAATGTAGTTCTCTTGACTTCCAGGAAGATTTCTGGCTGCATGTGCTCAAGGACCTACTTTTTTGCCTTTTTGGCTGTCCATGGTAACCTCAGCATTCTTCTCCAGCACCACATCTCAGATGAGTTGATTTTTCATTTTATCTGCTTTTTTCAACTCTCAAATCCATAAATGGTGATGGGGAATACAATGACTTGGACAATTTTAACTTTAATGTTTGGTTGTATATCTTTACTCTTTATGATCTCATTTAGTTCTTTCATAGTTGCCCTTCTCAGTTCTAGTCTTCTGATTTCCTGACTGCAGTCTCCATTCTGATCAATGTTTGATCCAAGGTACAGGAATGTTTTAATTATTTCAATTTCCTCATTGTCTAGGTTGAATTTATGTATGGTAGTTCCTCCATGGTCATTATTTTTGTTCTCTTTATGTTCAGCATTAAGCTTCCCATTACACTTTCTTCTTTGACCTTCCTTAGTAATTGTTCCCAGTTTGTGATGTTTTCCACTAGCAATATGGTGTCATCCGCATGTCTTAGATCAGGGGTAGGCAACCTGCGGCTCGGGGGCCGGATGCGGCCCAGCAAGGCCTTTGGACTGGCCCCAAACCGGTCCTGCCGCCACTGCCCCCCCCACCGCCGCCGCCCCCCCATGATGATATTGATTACTGTTGTTATTACTTGTTCTTGGGGTTTTCTTGGCAAAATCTTCACAGGGGTTTTGCCATGGCTTTTCTGGGACTGAGAGAGTGTGCATGCATTTTTTTAAAAAAAAAAATTAATTCTTTTTTAATTTTAATTTTTATTTATTTATTTATTTATTTATTTATTTATTTATTTATTTATTTATTTTTGGTGCTTCGGCCCGTCAATTGTCTGAGGGACAGCAACCCGGCCCCTGGCTCAAAAAGGTTGCCTACCCCTGTCTTAGATTGTTGATGTTCCTTACTCTTATCTTTACTCTTTCTTTATCTGAGTCCAAACTTGCTCTTCTTATGACATTTTCTGCATACAAGCTGAACACATCAGTGATGTTTTCTGCTAACAGTATGGTGATATAATGCAGCCTTAGCTGACCCCTTTGCCAATTGGGAACCATTCTGTTTCTCCATATTCTGTTCTAACAGTAGCTTCTTGTCCTTGTCCTTGTGAAAGGAAATATCATTATCTTATTCAAAGTGAAAATGCCTGGCAACTGCAGCTCCTGTCCAGCTCCAGCTCTTCCTCTCCTTCTGAACTCAACCAGCCAGTACAGCCCCCTTTCCTTAGGGTTTACCTATCTACTGGGACAAAGGAATACTCATAGGGATTGCAGTGTCATTTGCTGTCCTTGCAGTGTTTGTCAGTTTTGTTGTCATTTCAGATGTTCTTGTTTCTTTTAATTACATTTCCACTCACCAGTCCCTTCCTAGTAGCACCATTTGTTTCAGATGAACTAGCAACTGTGATGCTCTGGTGCTCTCAGAGTCTTTCTTGGATCTCACATCATAACTAAGTAGAATAAAGTATAACCATAAACCTCTCTCTTCTAAGGTGATGGTAAGCAGAGCACTGAAGGATGATGTGTCAAGCTCCCTCCTGCCACTTAGTTGTGACATGATGAACTCTGAACCCCTTGGCTGATCCAGCTTTCTATCAGGAGAAGAATTATAGCTATGTCATCCATGCAGGATCTTGGTTGCACTTTGCAAGTCTGATTGCTAGGCATATATCTCTGAGACTATTCCATTCTGGGAGGGTATATCCAATAGGTTATTATGGGTACTTTTTAAAAAAGTGCAATAAAAATGAAAATTAAAAAAAAATACATACTCTTATGGGATCCATGGACTCCATGTGCAACTTGTTTGGGGGGGGGGAAGGTTTTTTTAAAGCTCAACTGCAACAATATCTTTTTAGGAAGTCCAAGATGGTATAATCTTGCCAGCCCAATAAATAAAATCATGAGATAGGCTGGACTGGAAAGGTGAGAGATTGTTTCCATGTATAAGCTCTTAACATTATAAATAAAACTGGGTCTTGAAGGGATAAGCTTTTTGGAAAAGATTGCAAATCAGCAAATGTGTGAAATGGAGCCAGGAAGGCTTATTTGGCTGTTCCCAGAGCAGAGCAGACCAGCTTGCCATTACTTGCCATTAACAATTGGAAATCTCCATTTATGTCAGCTGTTTTAGGGCATCAGATTGCAAAAGAACCAAAGAACCTTGGTTCTTCTGTAGCATATTAGTCTCTGTATGGAAGTCCACATTAATCCCTGATCTTACAATAGGGAGATGCAATGCCTTGTTCATTTTGAGACTAGTTCCAGAAATTTCAGCTGTTCAAGGATTTACAATGCTAGATGGATAAGAATAACCAAATTTGCTGGAAAGTCTCTGATTTTACGGTTTATTAGTGTTTGAAAGCCCACTGCAGATTTTCCCTATACTTGCAGTCCAGTTGCCCTGAGCTACAATTCAGCATGGATCTCTCAGCAGGAGGTATAAAATCATATGTCTCTGTTGTGGCTTCCAATAACTTTTTCAGTACCAAAACTGACTCACAGATATGTCCTGTTCTTAATACTGAAGTTAATGATACTTTATGGCTAACCGATTTTAATGTGGCACTGAAATTCAATTGATTTAACTGATCCAACCATTTCTAAGCTGGTTGATTTTTTTTAAATATATAATCTTAAAATGGTAGAATCATAGAATCCTAGAGTTGAACAGCTCTTACCATCAGGTCTTACCATCAGGGAGTCCTTCCTAATGTTTTGGTAGAATTTTTCCCCCTGTAGCTTGAATCCATTTCTCCATGTCCTAGTGTCCAGAGCAGCAGAAAGCAAGCTTGCTCCATCCTCAATATAGCATCCCTTTAAATATTTAAACATAGATATCATGTCACCTCTTAACCATCTTTTCTCTAGGCTAGATATATCCGGATCCCTAAGCCATTCTATAATTAGGCTACAGAATGGACAGGCTGTAGAGAAATTGGATTAACGGCTCCAAAACTGAAATTAAAGAAGATGGAATAATCCGGGCTGGAACAGTTTAATAACATTATTCCTTGAGATTTCATATGGCTAGTGTGGGACAACAGCAAAAAACAGTGGCTTAAGCAGCCGAGTTAATAGATTCTTCCCTCTTCCCCTCTTATGAGTACCAATGAAACTTCCAGCTTTAGAACCAAAATCAGAATTTACAGATGCTGACAGCCATTTAATGCCATGATGCCTGAGAGAAAAGCTTAAGGCAGAAATGAGGAGGGTTTCAAAGTCAGCCCACAACCCAGATCCACTACAGTCATCCAAAAGTTCTCTGGCTGTGGGAGTGTGAGACATAACTTTTAATTGTTCAGTAACAATTAAGAGAAATGTATCCTGGGACACAAACAAATAAATATTGTGAGGAAGATTCAAACTGAGAGGTAGAGAGACAATTCACTGCAACCAGTAAAGACACTTTAGAATCTAGGCTTGTTGCCAGCCAGGTGGAATCCACCAGCAAAGCATCTGCTGTGTTAAATATCAGACAAACACTGTATGATTGTGTCACTAGACTCAAAAATGACCAAGGATTTTGAACAAAATGGACAGAACGGACAGCTCTAAGAAATACTGGATACCAAGTTACAACTAGGAAACCAAACTACAACTAGGAAGACCAGCTTTCCAACTGCTAATAGCAAGAGCATCATGTATATAGACTGAGAAGGACCCTGGGACCTTGTTGTTTGTTCCGATATCACAATACCATTTCTGACTGGGAATGATTTGGTTAAACACGTGGCTCAGCTCTGTGTCAGAGAACAGGCTGAACAGGAACAATTTTTACAATCACATCCAGAAATTTAATGTTAATTACATATTACATATTAGGCATATTTTAGCGCTTTCATTTTAAAATAATTTTTAATTAAAAAATCAGAAATCACAGTTAATTTGATTGTCTTTTGTTTTATTAAACTTCCCTGTTTTATACATCTACAACAGTGGGAGCTTTACAGACTCTTGACAGCTGGATGGAACACCACATTTTTAAAGAAGCAAAAAATCGAGTTGTTACTACAAGCAGCTCCGATAAAAAGTTACTAGATGTATTTCTTCTATTTTCCCTTCTCTTAAGGGGCTTACATACTGTTCATTTTTTTTTTACACTGAAGACCGAATCAAGAAACAGAATAACATATAAGAACCTGTAAGAAAAGATGCATATGTTTTCAATATGACATTATGAAGAACAGAGCAACCTCCTCCTTTCTTGATGGGGACAAGATGCTCCAGTAGTCTCTGTCACAACAGAGATTGTGAGGAGTCCTTTCATTTAGGGCCATTACAGACTGGCAGAAATAATGCAGCTTGAGGCCACTTTAACTGTCCTGGCTCAGTGCTAAGGGATCATGGGAACTGTAGTTTATTGTGGCAGCAGAGCTCTCTGACAGAGAAAGCTCAATGTTCCAGAAAAAAATACAGTTCCCATGATTCCCTAGCACTGAGCCAGGACAGTTAAGGTGGCCTCAAGCTGCATTATTTCTGCCAGTCTGTAAAGGCCCTAAGTTGAAAAGTATCTCTTTAGTCAGAAGATGTACAATGTCTCACTTTTTTTTTTCTTTTTGTGGTCTTGGCAATGCTGTTCGCACTTCACATCTCTCGTCTCCTAGAGAAGCACATCAACGTAATTTGCCAATTTCCTCATTGACCTGCTAGATATGTCAATATTTAGCAGGTACATAATTATTTATATTCTCCAAAGTACTGTAAACTCCCTTCAAGTTACTGCAGGCAGAACTCCCACACCCCAAAGTGAAAAATGTTCTCTCACATGTGTGTTTGCTCTGACAAATACCATTTAATCTCCCATCTTGTGTTATAATTGCCAGAAACTTTTTGAAATGATGACCTATTGTTTGAACTATCATGTTGAGTTTAATCAGCATGGTGGGTTAGCAGCCAGCTTTTTGCTACCAATGCAACATTGAAAAGAATAAAACAACAACACAAAATAGCTTTGCATGCCTGGTATTAGATTAAGAAGGTGATTTCCTAGTGAAGACAGTTTTGGGATGACAGAACAGCAACTGTTAAAGGATGGATTTGGATGGAAATGGAACAAAGCAAGAAGTATCAAGTTCAATTAAATCTCAAAAACGCAATGACAAGTCAATTGTGGTTAAAAAATTAAAAATAAAAATGTAAGAAAGCTCCAGGTGTGCAATAAAAGGAAATAATTAAAAATTCTTATGTGAAGGATATAGTCAGATATGATGAGGGCCACTGTGGCATAATGGTTTGAGTGTTAGACTGTGACTCTAGAGACCCGAGTTCAGTTCCCCACTCAGCCATGGAAACCCATTGGGTGACTTTGGGCAAGTCACACTCTCTCAGCCTCAAGGGAAAGCAATGGCAAAAAAATCCCTCTGAACAAATTTTGCCAAGAAACCCCCATGATAGAAACATTTAGGGTTGCCAGAAGTTGGAAATGACTTGAAGGCACAACAATAACAATAGACAGATAGGACTGGCAGTGACATCCCTAGGGTTGGTATCACCCAGTGCAGGAACTCATGGTGTCACCCCTCCATAAACCTCCTCCCACACAGAACCCTTAGTAATGCTTTTTTGCACTAATGTTACTCATAAATCATAATTTCCATATACCACTGAATGTCATGCTAATAGTTGTGACATAAACAACTAGCAAAATTAAAATTATGCCTTCAAATTACAGTACCATAAGCATAACCTAAATGTATTTACATACACATAGTGAATATTTGGTTTAAATGCAATGTTTTTTTTAAAAAAAATTAAAAAGAATAAATGTTTTTTAACATTTCAATTTTAATTTTTTTTTTAATTGGGGCTTCTCCTTTCTCCTCCCTCTGAGCTTCACCCCATTCCCACCATCCCTTAAAGCAGCGGTAGGCAACCTTTCCCCTTTAAGGGCCGAGGGACTTCAGCTCCCAGAAGCCTCAGCCATGTTGGCCAATAGCCCCATGTTGGCCAATAGCTCCTGGGATTCTGGGAGCTGAAGTCTCTCGGCCCTTAAAGGGGAAAGGTTGCCTACCGCTGCTTTAAGGGATGGTGGGAATGGCCTGCCGGATCACATACGTCTCATTACATCACTTATTACCTTTAAGAAAGCAGTTAAGACAGAACTTTTCCAGCAGGCCTTCCCAGAATAACTCTTTACAGGGACTGCACATCTGGAGCCACCTTACCCCTGGTCTCTCTACCGAGAGTGGCATCTTGTTATTGTTTTTATTCTATATTTCATATCAGTTGTATGTTTGATTTTAATTCTGTTATGTTTAATACCGTTTTAAGGGGGGGTAGTGGGTGAAGGATATAAGAATTTGTATTTTAACTGTTGTATTTTAACTTGTTGTACGCCGCCCCGATTGCAGCGCAGAGGGGCGGGTTACAAATAAAATTTATTATTATTATTATTGTCAAAGGAGACTGTCTGTGCCAGATATCAGAAACTCTCAGGATTAAAGAGGAGGAAGAAGAGGAAGAGGAAGAGGAAGAAGAAGAAGAAGAAGCTCCTGCTCTGATTTTCAAAAGTTACAGCTGGTTTGGGAACTCCACTTGGGACAGGAGGTATGTCATTGGGATATTTTAATTTCCTTCAACTCCTACAGGAAAAAAATTGCCAAATCTTAAGGCATTTTGCCAGTCTGGATGAGTTCTCAGTAATTGGTATTTGGAATGTCCTATCTCCAATGCTGAAGATTCCATATAGCTATTGGGACTAGCAAACTTTGAGAAAATGCTGGTTTCATTTAATCTCAGCTTCCAGGAACCTCCAGCCACCATGGTCACCATGGGCTTTCCTGGAAGTTGTAGTCAAAAGTGGGGTAGCAAAGGAACTTTTCCAAATTCTGTTCCAAATTCTGCTCATCTCCATTTGGGATAACATGACAAGTGTTGCACTGTTGGATTGCCTTTCATTGGCCCAGCATTAATGCTGTGTTCCTTTTGTTCTTTAGTGAGCCTGCCTCTCTGAAAATAAATTGCTAGGTAGGTTGAATAACAGCTTCTCAGACAAAAGTGATAGGCTTTTATTTCTGGCCATGAATTTGATACTCCTCACTTTAACCTGAAATATGATACATCACTTCAACATGTTAACAATGGCTTCTACAATAACAATGTGGTCTGTCTAAATTTTGTGTCTGTCATAAGGGAATCCTGCTCCACCCAACCACTCCCCACTTGCTGCTTATAAAAGCCATGCCTCTGAATGCTTACAAGTGATGGAGACTTGATAAGAAAGCTCCTCAGTCTCACCTGCACCCATACCAGGTGTGCTAAGACTACACAGGTTTCAAATGCTTGAATAGTGCATTAAAATGCATAGATATCCAGTTCTCACAATTTGATGCAGAAGACAAGGATGTCACGTGAAAACTGCACCACAACCAACAGTGGGCAAGTCTTGGTTTATTTTTATTTAGTTTAGCAGCTGATCCTGCTGGATTGCAGGCAACTTTTTAAAAAAAATGTCTGAAGAAAACACCTTGAAAATTATACACAGGTAGTACTTGACTCTAGTGAAGCTAGCCAGAATGGTTAAAAATCTTTCCTCCAAATGTTGGTGTGGTTGTAATGATAACAGCACATTTCTACACATGTGGCTAGACTGCCCCAAAATAAACACATTTTGGCAATTGGTACTTGAACACATTTCATTCATTACCAACCAAGTAAAATTATGTCCAGAAATGCTTTTGTTATCAATATATATAGACACAAACTCAAACTTGAAACGTAAAAACCTCATAGATTTCTTCATTACAGCAGCCCATGTTGAAATTGGCAGATGCTGGAAAACAGGTATCTTTAGATAAGTGGTGGGAAAAGGTATGGGACCTGAGGTTACTCAAAAAACTATCTGACATAATGGCAAAATCCCAAAATCAGGACCTTTCACAGACAAATGGTTCCCACTCATTGACTTTATAAACAAAAACAGAAACAAGAGAAGACAACCTCCATCTCATCTGAACCTTTGGTCGACATTCTGGACTAGATTTACACAAAGACAGCACTGAATTTTAAAATGACCACTTACATTGAACGCAACCCAAGAAGTTGTGAGATGAATTGTTTTATTTTGCTTTATTGTTGTGATATGTTTTGTACATAGTTGTTTACTTATAATAATATTTTTTTAAAAAAATGTCTGAAGGGTCACGCCAAACCTGAGGTGGCTGGAGAGGCTGCTATACATGGACATCTGCTAGATACCACACAGTCATTGTTGTCTGATTCCATTGCATTGGTTCCATCCTTAGAGTCCCGGGGTTTGTAGTTTAGGGGAGTGGACTAGAACTCTCTACCACAGAATGCTAAATGCCTCACCAAACTGCATAGTCCAAGATTCCATAGGACACAACCATGAGAGACTTTATGTTTTGGCATGTCATTGGGCTAAACATTTCTATTTTTCATTTGCCCTATCTTTGGTTTATTCTGTCACTTTCCCACATCATTCTAAAAAATGTTTTAAGTCTGCATTAAAATTTGTATTCTTTTCTATTTTTTTTATAAATGCAAGTTTACCTGTAGATTTGCCTAATACATTCTTTCAACCAGTTTTCTTTCATATAAAGTTGCTTTTCATTTATATACAGTCAGCCCTCCATTTTTGCAGGGATCCGTTCCAGACCTCCCACAAAAATGGAGACCCAACACTATTCAAGCCCTATAGGGCACCCCATTGATTTTAACAGAGGTTGTCCCTCTATGACTATAAAAAACCCTGGCCCTCAAGTCTCTGAGAATCAAGGGAGGACTGTATTGCATAATTTATACAATTTATATTTATAATTTATATAATTTATATCTTCAATTTATATATGCATTTTTCATATAATGTGCATTTTTTCACACTTTCTCATTTGTTAAGAGAGCTCTACTGCAAAATTATGAGAAAACTGAGCAACAAAGAACCACTGTGTCCTGCCTTGCATTCAGTCTTGATAAGCTCTTATCAAAATGTGAAGGAAGTGTTGGGAATGCCAGTACAAGAGAACAAGGTTGACAGTTGCACTCGATATTGTATTGTATTGTACTTTCAAGCATTCACAAGTCCTATTCACTTACAATCACCTTGAGCATACACCATAAAATCACATATCAATATACTTTATTTGAAATCACCATTGCTCAAGAATGCATTCTGCAGATAGCAGAGGAAATGGAATTATGCAACCAGAATGTTCATCTGTGCCTTGTCTTTGCAAGTTGTGTATTGCACAATGTGGTTGTGTATCCTATACTTTCCATTGTACTTGTGCATTGTACATTGCATGTGACACTCAGTCACTGGTGTGTGTGTTGTGTTATGTTGCTATTCCACGGGGGGCCTGTGTACTGTTGTCATGGCATGTATCACCTTGTGAGTATTTACACTACAGTAAGGGGATGTAGGATTGAGGCCATAATATTCATAATGGTTCCCATTGGCCTGAATCTTATTGATTAATCCCAACTAAGATCGATTTGGTGAATCAGTTGTTGTATGGTGAGTTGACAGGTAAGTAAGGGCCTTTGCAGACTGCCAGAAATAGTGCAAATTGAGTCCACTTTAAGGGTTAGGGTTAGTGCTAGGGAATCATGGGAATTGTTTTTTTCTGAAACATTGAGCCTTCTCTGTCAGAGAGCTCTGGTGCTACAATAAAATACAGTTCCCATGATTCCCTAACCCTAACCCTAATCCTTAAAGTGGGGTCAATTTTCACTATTTCTGGCAGTCTGCAAAGGCCTTAAGACACTCTACAGACTGCCCAAAAGGGGTTGTTCTACCCCGCCCCTGGGAGTGTGGATTGGGGCCATGGCAACTGCATACCGTGGCCCCAATCCAGCACTTTACCAGCTCAAAAAGGGCCAGCAAACTGCCTCTCCTTTTAAAAGCAGCAAAAAGGTGCCTTTACCAAGGTGGTGGTGGGTTTTGGGTGTTTTGTTTTAGTTTTTGAAATGCAGCACATCTAAACACTGAGCCGCAGAAATGCTAAAATGCTGCCTACCATGTGGTCGGGTAGGTAGTGTGACGCTGGCATCAGGGTGGTGTCCGAGCAGCACTGGGGCATGTGGTATGCGGTCGCCACTCACCCACTCCACCCTGATGCCAGTGTTTAATGCCGGTCTGCATAGCCCTAAATCTCATAGATTAGGACTAAAAATATAGCATCCAACCTTTGCATGTTATTCAACTATACTATGGTCCTACCTTTGCAACATGTTTTTATATACATAAATACAATGATCAGCTGATTTTCACTTTTTGAAATTTTACTGAACCCTTCCATCATATTGTGTGTGTGTGTTGATTTGT